GCTCACTTGCTTTTAAGCAAAATGCTGAGTCTACAAAATTATGTGCAGGTTAACTGAAATTAATAAAACAAAACAGTTTATGGAAATTACCTCCTCTTTATGTCAGTATCACTAATTCCACAGCTACCTTTCTAGATACTAGTAGTATAAATTGTGGCTGCAGCACAAATCAGCTAAGAGTGTACTGATTTAAATGAAGCCAGAAGTGGATCTTAATTAAATAGTAAACAAAGAAAAAGGTGATCCTAAAAATCAGAAGGGGAAAAAACCCAAACCACGAAACCAAACCAAAAGCCACTCTTCAACAGTCACAAGAAACAGAGGAAAAGCAGCAGCACCATGCCTGATGCACCAGCCTATCAAACATTCAAGTGTATGAAACCCAGTCATTCTTCTTGCTTTACCTGTACAAACTCTTGGTGCAAAATGGGCACGCAAGTATGTTACTAGAAATATTTGCTTGGAAGTTTTCACCCTGTATGGGCAGCTCATTAATGATTTAAGAGTTCAGGATCTGATGCAGATCTTGCTGTGATTTAGATACAGCCCAAGGATCATTAAGAGCTACTTCAGTCTTTCAGCAAAACAGATCCTGCAGACACTGCTAATCCTGGCACGGTACCTTCCAGCCAGGAGCAGCATCTTGCACAACAAATGATCTATCACAGCTCTGTTCAAAGTTACAAACGTCAGCCACAAGGCACACTCTCTAAGGTACAGAAAAATAATCTAATTGACAATTAATGCTCCCACATTTACTACTAGGGTAATAAAATTTGTATTGGATCCTCTACTGCCCTTCTAATGTTTTACAAAAAGATGTATTTTATAACTTTTATCAATTATGCACGTTTGACAATGTAGGTGCGTGCACAGAATAGTCTGTTCTACCTTAAATCAGTACAGTAACCTATAAAATGTCACAGGAAAATAAACTTAAACCTTCATCAATATAATATGCACCAGGCCACACAAATTACTGTCCTCCTATGTAACATTAAATATTAACAATTATACCTAGATTATCTAATCTATCCATCATCAAAACAATGCTAAAATGTAAAATAAACACATCATTTCTGCTCAGTCTTTTCTTCTTCTATCAAAGTTCTTTACTTGGATACAGGAAGGAAGGACTCATTTCAAGACAGACACTCAAAACATTTTGTTCTTTATATTGCCTTCCCAACCATTTAAGACAAAAGTTATGGCTTGGTAAAACAGATCTAAATCTTTCAGGAAAACTGCTGTGTCTTCCAGGGACTCCAGGTTCTATCGCTTAGAAAAAGAGACTTAATATTGTATTTCTAAGGTAGTGCATATGTTCTTCAGCAACATGAATCCATGGCTGACTAGTGCTCTTCAATACACTGGAATAAGGGAAGAGGAATAGAGATGGAAGAATTCAGTGTAACCGAGAATGCAGAGTGTATTAGACAAAAATCTCTAGTGTCAGAAAGAGTCACTTTGTTAAAGGTGCAAAGACAGTCACTGCAAAACAAACTTGCTAGTTATTGCATGTATTATGTCAAAAAGCAAGAAGAGGAAACAAAAAAAAATTCTAAACTTTCTATGGACTTCCTGATATACTCTTAAACTAATGCTGACACTTCAGGAAATTTAGAGAAATTATCATAAGAATTAGCTACTTGGTCTCAAATAATTCCAAATGCCAAGAAAGTCCTTTTCCACAACATCTGTTACATTAACATCATTGAATAAACACAAATGTAAACTGGAAATGGAGGAAAATAATATGGCATACAAGAATGACTTTAGGTCTGCACATGGTGAAGTTCAGATTTTAATTCTCAATCTGTCACTTTTCTACTGATCACTGTTTCTGTTTAAATGGTTAACCAGCATTTCCCTCTTTACAGGTTTGCTGCAGACTATTCAAGAGTCAGCACAGAAAAAATCCTCTATTTAAGATTCTCAGGTGTTGCTTCTAAACTCTCCTTCTCTGGCTACGCTGCTTGAAGTTTTGGCAGTCTGTCAAAATACCAACTCTTGTGTACTCCTGAGCCAAGTCCACTACATTGCCAAAGCTGCAGAAGGGAAGTCTGCATGTGGAAAGATTTTTAGTGCTTCCAGAACAATTACTGCATGCAGAAAGGAAGCTAAAGCAAACCAAGTGCCTCCCTAAAGCCCAATCCAAACAAGAGAGCAAAAGGATTACAACGTTCCATCCATACTTCTAGGACACCACACTGGAAAAAAGGACTTCACTTTCCAGACAAGACACCAAAGAATTTGGGGCTAGAACACCTCTGTCTGAATGTCCCCCAACAGCCCAGGACACCCTCATCTCTCAAGCAAAGCCTGGGACTCAGTAAAGTCACTGCTATGCTTCCAGTGAGTGAAACCAAAAGGTTCAAGTTTCAAACCCCATCAGTGGTGGGAGACTGCTACCAGAGGTGTGTGTGGTAAGCTGAGCTTTTTCTTTTAAGGAAGAGAAAGGAAAATGCTTAAAAGGCACCAATGTTAACATAATATTTACATTACAGAGCAAAGTCGCAGAAAGTTGAGAAATGTAAACTTTGGAAGTGTTTGAGTAGCTGTTGTTTAAGCAAACTCATTTCTGCTTTCTTTTTTAAGAATGATTTCAGACAACATATACAATTACACGATCCCATGGTGTTATTTCTACAAGGCCTTCTGCTCATTCAGTGACCAGAAGAAGCTGCATGGATAGCCATGCAGTTTGTATAGCATATACATTTCAACTTCTTCACTAACTACAAAAATATACCCCAAGTAGTTGTTAATTTATCTAGGCTTAAAATAAATTTTTAGATACAACATTTTTAAAGGTAAATTTCAGATGTTTCTACTTCTGAACTGACCAGTTAGCAGAAAAGATGTCAAGCTGTTAGAAACTTCCTGAGGAGAAGAAAAACTGAATTAGGTGTAAATCTATGGTACTGAAAATTAAATGCATTTGGATATTAGTATGAAATGGTTACCAAGAGACAGAGAACTTTTATAAATTATTATATTTTAATGTATTTGTTTTCTGATAACATTGAAACTTCTTACGTGAGAGTTTTTGGTGGCAGCGCTCTTTACATACTGGTTTCCACAAATAAGAAATTGCTGTGGATGTCTGATTGCTTCCTTTGCATTATATCTATTTTGTTTACAAAGGGGCTTTTAATAATCCACTATTGCTCTCAAATAACCCTGTGCAAAGCATAAAATGGACACATTTTTGAAAACGGGTGAGTGAGTATTCAATAACTTAACCAAGATCACAACACTGGCAGGTTTTGAATAGTATGGTCGTGCCTTATCTTTCTGTTTAATTCATCAAGTCCCTAAATACACTACTAAAAAGGTGCCTGTGCACCTGGGCAGGGGTAATTATTAAGTAACACTGTCAGTTCTTACCTTATGTAAACATACTGCAAATACAAAAACAATTTATGCTTTCAAAATGTTAAATAATAGATCCTCTGATTTTAAAAAGACAGAACCAAAGCTATACTTGTAGTACTCTATGGGAGATAAAACACATTTTGCAACTTCTATCGTTATGCTAATATTTGAAATTCAATTACAGAAGGCAATGTGTTGGTTTGACACAGGGAATGAAAGATTCAAAATTACAATCTTTTTTATAATAATGTTTCAAACCTTCCCTTGACAATTGAGCCCTGCCCCATTTCTAGATAAACGCTAAACATTTTTGGAGTTAAGTAACTTCCTCACAATATCACAGCAGTATTCACTTCCCCACTCTAAAAATCTATAGATGCAGAAAGAAAATGAAGCCTCGGATATGTAACATAGGTCATAATTACAAACTGTTCTATTAGTACTGAATCCATCTCCCATGAAGAGTAGAAACAGCCTTCAAGGTAATTTTATTGAAATGGCCGATTTGAAATGTTCATTATTTAAGAAGTTTGGATATTGCAATAGCTGGGATGCATTAGCAGAGAATTTGCCTACAAAGTGGCAGTTTAATCTCAATCAGTTAACTGGCAACACAAAAGAACAGTGCTCTGTTTCAACAACTCAGGTTTGCCAACAACATCCTCTTAAACTGCTTCCAGCTACACTGGAAGGACATCCAACTATATGTTAAATCTCCCTGCAAGTCAGCAGGATTTTAGCCTCCAAAATAATTCAGGCAGTTAAATGGGACTTCTACATTTTAAATACCTTCAGTTGTAGATAGCTGAGTACCAATCAATACGCTTTTTTCTGAAATTAAACTTGTATTCCAAATTTTTTTGCACAACTAGTATCTTTATAGAAATTATTTCAAGGGCTTGCTTAGAAGGAAATAGCCTCAGTACTAAACTTGACCATAAAAGAAAACGCAATGTAATAGATGTCTGTAATGTTTTCTCTATTTTTTTTCCTTCATCTTTTCATCTAGCTCAACAAGCATGTATTAATCTACAAATGTTCACAACACCAAAATATCAAGCACTAAAACTCAAGAAAGATCCAAATTGTATGAAAAATCAATCAGAACAAGTGGAATTTAATTTGTATGTGGCTCTTAAGTATGATAAATGCTCCTGGCAAATTTTAAATATTAGCAGGAATTGTACACCTCAAAACTAGAAACCGTTTGTTTCTGAAAATACTAATTTCATATGTTCCTAATGATGAAAATGTAACTGCAGTCAAATTCTGGAAAGCTCCAGGGAAAAAAAAAAAAAAAAAAAAATCATCATAAACCGAGGTATTGGTTTCAATCAACTTAACTTTAAGCAAGAGGATAAACAGAAGTAGATATATGCACATTTCACTCAACTGGCTGTCAGGGTTTTCTCAAACTATCTGCACTTCTCAAATATGTAACTTATTAAAATTAACCAGAAAGTTACATAGAAATTATGTTCAGATCTAATAACTCAAAGCTATTTTTCCTCAACTCCAGAAAAATCATAATTTTCCCATCTAACCCTATCTAAAAAGAAAAGAAAAATAGCTAAATAATTTCAGTACTGCTGTAGTTGTATACTATACAACACTGGTTTTACCTTTCCAAGCATTCTTCCAAGGAAGTAGTAATGTCGGGCGTAAGAGTCTCCAACAAGCATCTGTGCAGCAGGGTTAGGGTAAAGAAGTCCCTCATTGGTGGTCTTAAAAAATCCCTGGTTAGGGTTAAATCCTGATTTAAGTAGTTCATTCAGAAATTCTCTGAAAATTCCACCACCATCAATACCAGCTTCATCAAGACCATGTGCATTAAGTAAGTGAACACGGATGCGCTTTTTTAGGTCAGGTTCTGCAGAGAAAGAGAGAAAAACTCAAACGCAACCATTTTAATTTTGTTTGGATAAAGAACACATTTAACTACACATACAAACACATCTACACAAACTTTATATAAAAAATTGAACTCGTAAATAGTAGCAAAAATCTATTACAGGCTTGACTTTTTGAATAATCAGTATGTGAAACTAACATTGTATGAAGTGTCTTACTTTAAGAGTCATCAAAAGATGGAGTGGGAAGACACCAGGTAGGGGGAAGAAAAAAAATCCTACAAAATATTTTCAAGAAGCCTATGAATAATTAAAAAAGTCTATGTCTATAAAATAATGTGAATGCAAGGCTCAACTTTCTCCTGTCTGCAGCAACTGTTGATAAGCACCACATTCCCTTAGAAGGGCTGACTGTTAAGCTACACCACTATATATTATTTGAAATTGAACTTAATATTTTTCTACTTTGGACTCGTTGCTATATCATGTGTAATACCAGTGAGCACGGTGTGATAAAGATGGACGTGTTCTGAAGGTAGGTGTCCTGCTTCTTTCTCAGAAGGCAGCTACTTGAGAAAGCAAGCACGGTTTAGTCCTTGAACTATGTGTACATAAGAGGGAATGAGGACCCTTCTGCTCAAGTCACTGAAGGATTGATTCCAAAGGTCTAACCAAATGCAGAGCTTTTATGTCAACCCTTGCATTGACTACGGTTGTCCTAGCAAAGCAACCAGTAACAAACTATCTACTGCTTCCATGTGCTACAAATGCACATACTATGGATAGACAGCTGATATTCCTGAAAATCTTCAGCACCTTGTAGCAACAGAATTTCTCCTGAATTACAAGAGTGTGCTACACTCTCCCCTTAGCAAATGCCTCTATACCTACTAGTAACTTCCTATTTAACATTCGGATATTTCTAAAAATTACTTATTATTATAGAATCATAGAAGAGTTTGGGCTGGAAAGGGCCTTACAAGATCATTGAGTTCCAACCCGTCTGCCACGGGCAGGGACACCTCCCATTAGACCAGGCTGCACAAGGCTCCATCCATCCTGGTCTTTAACACCTCCAGTGATGGAGCATTCACAATTTCCCTGGGCAACCTGTTCCAGTGTCTCTCAGTTCTTCAGTCAAGGGCAATGGTCTCCTGCACAAAACAAATCTGCTGGTTGGAACTAGAGGATAGCCATTTCTAGCCACAGGTGCTGCAACAGCTCCACTCATGACCATTCAGAAAGAAAAAAAGAAACAAAACAACACTGGCAGAAGAGTGTCTCAAGCATATAGCCACACTTTGTCTAGAAACTCCTGAGCCACTGAGCGCTAATGTTGAAATTTTTATATGTGGAGAATGTTGGTTTAGTGCTTTTGGGGGCTTTACGAAGAAAATCAGTTATTTGTCTCTTCCTCTGTATACTGACAGCCACATTTATAGCAAGAATGAAAAAAATGATCCTAAAACAAATTCAGATGTCAAAAGAGGTGACCAGGTAGAGGTGACCCCAAGATAGTGCTACCCCTGAAAAAAGAGTTCAGTTTTGTTACTCATACAGCTAAAATGTATCTCAACTGTTACTGGAGTGCACTGGAGGCTGTTATGGAATACTCTGAAAATTCCAGTCATGGGGGAAGGGAATAGGTAAATGTTTGCACATTAAGTGTATGACAACCACATAAAAATCTAAACCTACACAAACCAACCTAGCACATTTATGCTCCTCCAAGCTTGATTTCTTAATGATCTCACTTAAGGTACTATGGAAACGTTCACTTTGAACAGCTCTCTTCTCAGGGACAGTAGGTGAACTGGATGTTTCCTCCAAATCAATGTTCTTCGCTCTCTCCTGATCAATTCTAGGACCACACCTACCATCTGTTCAATCTCCCAGATTGATTTTAATCAATTCAGTGTACAGACTTGAAATTGTGTCTTTTGCAATTTTCTGGCACTTCTCTTCTGCCTTCCCACATGGTGCCTGACCCGCTCCAGAACTAAAATGATTTCACAAAATTTATCACAAAAAAAAGTCCAGCTTTTTTTTTTAAAAAAGGACCAATCTTTTGGTCTTGTAATTTAGTCTTTATTGTCTTTATTTAGTCTATATTCTAAATAGCACTAGTGCTGCATGAGTACAGTCCCAGATAGCACTGTATATATATGTTTGTCTGTGTATACATGTGTAGACAAATGCACTGAAACAGATTTTTGGACTTGAATGGCCAACTAACCACCATGGCTTCTCTATACCTGTAAAGAAGACAGAAATCTTCACCTAGAAATTAGTCTACTTCCAAATCCCTTGCTACAAGCTTATTAGGTTCTCCCTTGTCACTGTACTATGAGTAATACCATTCCTAGAGAAAGGCTGAAAACATTATCTACAAATACATACTACTGATCATCCTTTAAAACTTTCAATAAACAGGAGAACTTAATCTGCACTTTAAAAAAAAAAGTAGTCTATATGTATCTCTCTTAGGTAGTTACAGTTCTAAGAATTTGTATTTCAGTGCCTGTGTTTATCTATAAATAGAATAGTATCTTTAATACTACCAGAATAAAGAAAATTAAGAAAAGGCATGATCTCCAGTAATTTCATACAAGCCAAAAATACCAGTGTCTCTTGGTCTTCCTCTCTAAACCAGGCAGTTCTCCAGGAGCTTATGTGGCACAGCAAGTGAGATTCACATGGCAAATCTCAAGTATTTGGCAAATATTCTTTTTATACGCAAAAATACAATATAGCTAATAAGGAGTTTATTTTGTCATGTTTTATCTACTTTGGAATTTTGGCTTTTAGAGCAGCTGCTCTCACACAAATTCACATCAAGGTATGATTTAAATTCATGTGTCAAAATACATCCTACTACATCCTATCACTCCAATGTGCACTGCTTAACCTTATCAGCCACTCTGTACCCAGCAGTTCCTGCACAGTCTAGATACATCTGCTGGCACAGATTGCCAAAGCAGATGATAGCTAATGATAGATAAATAGACAAAGTACAGTCATTTGGACATAAAATGGGAAGAAAAGCCTCAAAAAAGTAGGCTTGAACTAAAGAAGGGTATGTTAAAGAGAACAAGACTGGAAGAATCAGAAAGAATGTGGATGAGAATTACTTTATGTAAAAATGAGGAAATTTATATAAACTTTCACATCTCAGAGGTAATATACTTCTAACATTCTACTGAAGTAAGCAAATATGGAACTACATGGAAAGAATGACTAGGTGTTAGAAATGAGCTGATGATAACTTAATTGTCAACCTACCATTTTCAGGAGAAAGTTTATCATAAGCATCTTCATAAATATAATTTCTTCTGATAGTGACATTAATGCCATCCAAAAATGGCCCATCTCCTTGAACTTCCTGCTTATCAGCATAGATTAGTCTTTGAAAAATCTGTTAAAATGAGTGAAAAAGAGAAATCATGTCACTGGATAGACCTAAATATTCAATGAGAGATGGTTATGCACTACAATTGCTCCTTCGAGTTGCTTCTGGGCAGTCCCTTTCAAGTGATTTATCTTCCCTCCCACTGAGCTGCAGAAGCATAATACAGAGCCATGTCCCAGGGGAATGAAGGAGAGGGGACAGACATGCAAAACAATTTTTTGTTCAAAGATATGATCCCCAGTTCTTTCTACATCTCTTCTACACACAACTAGCTAGAAAGAATAGGCTGAAGGTATATCTCAAAGCAAAATTCTTCATACAAATCAGATTCATTACCTCCCACAGGTAAATATCAGGCTGAAAGGTGCCCACTAACATGCCTTAAGTCTAAAGAGAAAACATCCCCCCAGGTTAGAAGGCTGAAGAGCCTATCACACAGCTGGACTCAGAAATCGTTTGGAAGAATATCTATTATATGGTAATTCAAGGTAAAATCTCAGAAAGAAGCCAGAAAGTGTAAAGACACATGAACAACCCACACATGGAAATGGCATTGAGCCGTATTACCACATTAAATTACAACATAATAGATGGCAACTGGTTGAAAACAAAACAAAAAAAAATTAAAAAAAATTTCAAAAAAACACACATGCAAGATCATGGCAAGAGATCATCTTCCTTTATTGCATTTTGTTTTGCAGGGGCAGTGGGAGACTCCAATGGATGTTGACTCTCACTATTACACTAGGAGGACTATACTTGGTCCAAAAAGCAATATAAGATCTAGTCTCTGATCTATAAAAGTTCAGTCTACAGCTTTATCCTCTCCAAGCTTTCATCCAATTGTTATTTCAGTTCTTGTGATAAAAAAACAAGGTTCTCTGAATTCCAGAAGCTTCACATACACACATCCCAACATATCTTTAAGAAGTCTGCACAAAATGGCTAAAGAGTGACACAGAGGTCCCTGCTTGAGGCCACTTCCAATAGCTTCCCTCTAATCCTAGTGCAATACTGCCATACAGTATTAACTTTTTTTTTTTTTCTGAAACAACTGTTTCACAGAAACTTGGAAAAAACACTCCTTTTCTACCCAAGCTGTCACTGCCTTTTCTGACAAATACTTTCCCATGGAACTATTCTTCATTCCCTTGATGGTGTCTTGCAACTTAATATTCCAAGAGAATTCAGTAAGCAGTTTTTAAGTAACTGATACTGCTGACAACAAATGTGGTTAGTTAAATCAATTGTGCATAACAGAATAATAGCTTTAAAGAAAAAAAAAGATGCAAATTGAAATTGTTAATAGAACTAATAATTACATATTTAAAAACCACAAAACATCCAAAAGCAAATCCAATAGTACAAAAATCTTGAGTGTTTTAAACTACATACTCTACGTTAATATTAAGTTCAGCTACTCAGCTATGAATGCAGAAATTTAATCTCTAGGTGTTATTTTCCCAAAATGGACATGCAGCATCTCATCCTGAGTAAATCCACCCACTGCACAAGACTCCAGTCTTGACCTTCCAATCTGTTCATTACAGATACACAACTAGCTAGTGCTCTGCTTGCCACAAGAGGGTGCAATCCTGTAGATCTCTCACTGAACAGGGCTGCAGTTTATTATGAACATGCAACTGCTCTCGTGTATCATGAAATACATGTTTCTAATTTTAATGCAGTTATTATAAAGGTTACTGTAGCTAGTAAAAGAAGAGAAAAGTAATTAACTCCAGCTCTTCAGCTGACACAGGAGTACTGAGGAAAAACAGTATGGCTTGTCGTGTCCTTCTGCAGCTAAACAATCCAGTTATGTGCTCCTTTTACACTTACTGAAAACAAAAAAAATAAAAAACCCAACTGAATAGTAAGTTAAAAATTAGGTACCTTCACTCTTTCTTCAAAAGGTACTACAAAAGGTAGCTCTGTCAGAATTGCAAGTTGTCGTTCTTCAGATACAGAAAGAGGTGCTGGTTCCAGACCCACTTAAAATAGAAATAATAATCTTTAAAATTTTGGAAAGAACATTTTTTAAAAACAGTTTATCTTGTATTAAGTGACTCAATTTACTTTCTGTAAAAATATATACATTAAAATACTTCATATACTGAACAGTCACTCAAAGCCTTACCTTTCTTTAAATATCAGTTTCTACATGCAAACTGAAATACAACTAGCAAAAACACACTGAAAACAAAATATATATAAAAAATATTCCTGTAATTTTTTATTTAATTCAGAAGGAAAAAAGTTATGTTCTTATTATTGACATTTTAATTTTTCTATTAAGAAAAAAAAAAAATTAAAGAAGAGAGATAAGCAGCTGCAAGTAATTAGAATTGTCATTACAGTTTCAAGTTTTTCCTTTGGCTCCTACCTGTAGTGACCAGCACCCTCCTGCCCTACTGCAACTGGACATCAGTGTTCTGTGGTTTTGTTTGGGAGGGGTTTTTTCTTCAGTTTTGTGTTGTTGTTTTGTTTGGTTGGTTTTTGTTTTTTTTTTGGTTTTTTTGTTTTTTTTCTTCTTCTCCTCAAAGTACTTTAAATGGGGATATTTTAAGCACCAATCTAACATGATCTAACCCAAAATATCACTATACTTGATGTATATTCTTTTGGGGCAGATTTCAACATTGCAAGTCTTTGGAATTTCTGATAAAACACTTATCTGTGATCACCTTTAGTTTACTTAGTAAACATTTTTAATTAAAGTCAATGTACGCAGCCTATTAAGCTAACTGTTAAAAGCATTTTAAATAAAAAGTGCATGTACAGCAAAGGTAAACTACTACATGACTTCGACAGTTCAATTATTCCAGTCAATTAGTCAATTTTATCTGCATTTCTCCATCACAGCTTCTTTCTTTAAAGAGAAATATGGGATGGAGTCATCAATACTGAGGGCATTTAGAACTCAGGCTCTGCCATTTAAGTAAATGAAAAAGCACAAATAAACATGACCATATGTGATTCTGCAGTACTCGCATGCTAATTGGCTTTAACCCATATGGAGTCAAGAGGGATTAAACAAGTCTTGCACACATTGTTACCTGCCTTGTTTTCACACATTCATGTTGTCTGCACTTCTTTTAGCCTGATTTTGGATGAAAACGAGGTTTATATAAACACACTGTCATATTCCCTCACCATCTCACCTCCAACACACCTTTTGAGCTAACCAACTGAATTTTAACTTTGACAGAGAATAGAAGATTCAAAAATACTAAGTTTTGTGAAAAATTCCCTTCTCTGTCCAGTGGGAAATTCCTTTAGTGACCTGACTACAGAAACAGTGAGGAGAGTTCAGTTATCTGCTCTGTTCTGTTTGTCAGATAGACTGGGAGCCAGCAAAACGAGGGCATTTAGCTGCTCTGCATGGGCACTCTTCAACCACCACCTACCCGAACCAAGGCAACTGCTGAAATGGAGGGAAATGGTGTTATCACAGGAATGAAGACTTGAGAGAGAGAACTCAAGATACTGTATGCATGAGGGGAAGGAGACTGGTAGTCTAGTAGCATGGGGGAGAATCAGGAAGTAATAACTGTGGAACAGGTATGACAGTGGAGAACATCGAGACAGTAGAGCTGTCAGAAGCAATGTTGGTCAATAGCAGAAACGGCGATTACTGATGTAGAGTCCATAAGTAACACAGGATTCAGACCTGTTGAAGCCTGGAAACTTTTGCTCAACATCTGCTTTTAAGATTTCATATTATTAATCACTAAGAAGAGGCAATTTCCAAAGACAGAAACTAAACTAAAAAAAAAAAAAAAAACCTTGATTCAAAATTTTGAAGACTATTTACACTGGACCAACTAGTTGTGATCTGGCAACTAGGCTGACTTAGATCATCATAGCTATTCAAATAAAAAAATACCATTACAAGAAGTCCTAAGGTTTCAACCCTGGACAAAGACCTTGATTCCATGCAACCCTATGGCACAGTTCAAAGGCAGTACTGCCTTCTCTAGGTAATCTACTGTATAGATACTCAAGCAGATCACATCACTTGAAAGAGGGTACTGACTCTTGTAGATGAGTCTTTTCGCTACCTAAAGGTCCCATTTTTAATTCATTACTACATCTTCACAAGTATTAGTAAGGTAATTTTACCTGAGCGTAGCAAGGTAGAATTCTAGAATAGCGAAGCTAAAGAGGTATGAGAAGCTGAAGGAAACAGACTGTCTTCATGAGAAAGCACACAGGCACAACTAAACTAGTGTAAATTTACCCTGATTGCTAAGTTGGTCCAATTCTCTCCTTCTTTGGAAGTCCCAGAAAGTCTAGATATTTTGAGAAATTCTAGGGGTTAAGTTTCTGCCTTATCTAATTAGAGACAATATTTATCAACAGTAATTATCACTTATCATGGTACACCTAAAGCCTGTTCATTCCAGTTTAATACATAATAAAGAAGTTCCTTTATAGTACACAGTAAAAGCAAAACCTCAGTGCTTTACATCATCTGCACCTTTATTAATTTTGTATCTTAGACCACTGCTTTTATACATATTAATATGTGTATTTTTAAAACCTATTATTTGTCCACCTGATCATCTCCCCTCACCAAAGACAGAAGCTTAGGGAAAGCTGTTATACATTAAATATTCTAAGACATATACATGTGTGTATACAAACATACATTTTTTTAAATATCTGAAACAAATTTATGAAAGATTGCCTTGCTTTGGGCTATCAATAGGACTTCTATACAAAAAACTCAGCTGAGCTCTAGAAGAGGTACATTTTCTTTGCCTAAGGAAAACTGTTAGTGACTTAGTAAAGCAAAATTTCCGTAGTTGGAAGTGGTAAGTTGTATCTTACCATCCAAAGTAGACTGCAACGGTCCTATTCTTCCCATTCTTCTGACTCTCCAGACATGTCTAGCAGATGGCACATACAGTTGTGTAACCTAATAAATTAAGAGGAATTTACAGTTAAATGTTATCTAAGTCTATATTACAATTTACTATTACATAGTAAATGCATAAAACTGTCACATCCAAGAGTGTATCTGAATGCCCAAGTATCTTCATTTCTAATCACTCCTCCTTATATCTGCCCCTTAAAGCTGAGCTGCAAAATTAACATCATCATATAAAGCCCTTGTATCGTTCTAAAGTACAATCTTACATTAAATGCTGGTATTTAAGATACTAGAGAAGCCAAGTTTGCATTTTGAGATGTCAAATTCCACTACAGAATTGGTAAGCATCACAGTTTTAAGGCTCCTACTACCAAAAATAAGGTAACTTTTTATATCCACTACTAGTAGAAAATAAAATGCAACAAAATGCTACCAGATTTTCAGTTCTCCTCTGCTATAAATGCAGATGACTTACATTGTCACACTGTAGAGTGAGCTCTACTTTACGGACTCAAAATGTAATTTAAGTTTCTTAACAGATTCAAGACTTTCACATTAGAGAAAAGCAGTATTACTCCAGGTTTTAAACCACACTAAATCTGTTCAGCATCACTGATAGTGTTAAGAATCAAACACTTTACTACTGAAACTTTAGCACCTGTAAGGCTTTGTGGAAAAAGGATATTATTCTTACCTTATCTGCTTTAATGTTTTCTTGTTCTGAGAGCCAGTGATTTGGTGGGCAGAAATTTCTCCTTGTATCTCTGGATTTCAACATTTTCACTAAGTTTGTAATGACCTAGGTGTCAGAAGCACACACATTCAATACATATTTAACATTGTGAATAGAACTGTATAATTCACAAGAAAAAAAACTAACAAAAATCTTCCAGTAACGTATGAAATTATTTATTTTAACTTGGAAAAATTTGCTCTTACATTTAAATCCCTTAGAATGCAAACAAGTAACTGTGGTTCATTTACAAGTCATCAAAAAATTGGCTTATTAAAGTCTCATTCCAAATCCTAAAAACTAGGTGTACCCTGCACACCTGTGAAGTAGTACACCAGTTCAAGGAAGCCTAAAGGACTCATTACCAGCATTAATTACTTATTTAAAGATAGTAACACCTTACCAGGTAATATATACAATGCTAGATTTATTTTTTTTTTCTTGTATAGGTTTTCAGAAATAAAATATGTGAAAACATGCATGTTTTCAAAGAGAGAGCTATACAGCTATTCTTTACTATATCACATTCCAAAGCCAAAACTCCAAACATTTTGGCTAATTTGCAGGTTTTATTTGTCCACAAGAAGGAGGATTCTTAAATTTCTGTGTGCTGTCTCTGTCTTCTGCATGCTGTCTCATGACCAAGGTCATGTGTATCACTCCACAGGAGGCAAATTTTAGGAATCAACTCATAAATAGTGGGTTATTTCCACCTATAGTCAATAAATTTAACTAACTAGCCAGCAGAAGATCACATGATGTGCTTCTCAATGGCCAAACTGTAGAAAAGCCACCATCAACTTCAGACAGTGGAGGAGAGGGTAGAAGCATTAATTTGGCACCAAAACACAACAGCAAAAGTTACATCTCTAAAATACATGAAAGATTGTCTACTTCTGGTTGCTGCATCAACAAACTAAAGCATTTACAGCTAAAGGTGCCTCAAATGAATCAGAAGTATTTGCTGATGATAGACACCTAGGTGATTATCCATGTGAAAAGACAAATGCTGGTATTTTTAAGGGTGGAGGTAACATCCGTAAAGTTCTACAGGCTCCTTTTCTTGTCAATGACTATCTTGTCAGTGTTTCTAAAACTGTCCAAGGGAAAAAAATAATCTCATGCAGAAGTAATTCTAATTTATCAAGTGAACTGTACCCTCAAAGGTCTTGTCTATTGAAACACACCCCAGAGTGACTAGCTCAATTGTTTATGCTGTACAGCAAATCCTACCTTAAGATTGTTAAAGGATCCAACACACTAGTTCCAGAAAGTAAAGTCATTCTTGAGAAAGGCCTAGCCCAAACATGCCTAAAAGCAGATTACAAGATGACTACATGCAGAAAAAGGATGCCTACCAAATATTCTTCTGGTGATGACCATAAAAAGCACAAAAATCTCCTACAGTCCTAAAAATATGTATGTGGGGAGGCTGGTTTTAATATTTTCATTTAATAATATGCACACATATAGTGTATTGTCATAATGCTATCTACAAACTAAAATGTGTTAGGTAAAGCCTTTTAGTGTGTGAAGCTAGTAAGCACTTTCCCAACAGAAGCTATAAACATTCACCTGAAAATCACCTAGTAACAGTGTGTTTTTGCTTATCAGTTGAACCATACTGGGTTATGATGTGCACACCCAGACTCCACCCACCCACAAGCACACTAGCTTAAACTGCTCTGTTTAACTCAGTTAATTCACAAGGAATTCAAACAATAAAAGGTCATTCTGACATTATTAGAGCCATAGTCAGAAAATAAGAAAACTGAACAGGTAACTAGTTTATGCACATCTTCATAAAAAAATGGGATGCAGAGAAAAATGTTTATGTCACTATGGTGTCTTTGCAATTTTAATAACTTTCTCAGCAGTTTCCCCCAAAACAAAACAAAAACCCACCACAAAAACACACAAACACACGCTCAAAAAAACCCATACTAATAAACCAAAACAAGTAGAGATACCAACCTAACAACTACTCCATCCCAAACACAACTGTCATACTTGGTTGCATGCCTTCTCTCCAAAGCAGAACCAACCTAACTTAGGCCAACACTATATAAAACATAATTAAGTGCAATCAATAGAATATTAAATTACCAGTCTAAAAAGATGTTATCACTGTTACAATGAACAGTCATCTGGTTTGCAACTTCGAACTACAGTACTTGAAAAATGAATAGAAAAAAGAAAATACACAAAGCTTTTCTGAGGTAATCTTGCTAAAAGACAGTCTTAATGCCAGGTGTCAAGAGTAACAAAGAGTTTAATGGACCTTCTAAAGGATTCTGTGTCTAGATACTACACAAAAGACCTTTTAAGATGCAGTTTGTAAAGTAAGGTCTTGAATAAAGACAGAACAAAGACTGCTATTAAAGGAACTGTCTGATTACGCAGGAATTTTCATCACCTTGCCCTTATAAAATTCTGTGCAGGTTAGGTAAGTCACCGAGGCTCTGCCGTCCCACTGCCAAGATACGGTAAGAGAAAGATTTTTTTTTTTTGAAGGAGGAGGAAATATCAGAAAGAAGACCATGTGAAGACCATACTAATAAAATATTTTACAAGCCATTGAAGAATCGTTAAAGGAAGCTGAATCAAATTAGGTGAATCTGGGGTGGGGTTCCTTCTACACAAAGAATGGGTACTGAGAACACTAGCAATCCAAACTTGGGACTCCTTTATGTAAATATTTTTGTAAGCATGTATTTTTTTTGAAAGAAAAGACCTGCTTCAATAAATAATATTAAAACGGGAATTTCTTTCCAGTAAATCACCAAATGCAAGTAACATTCAAAACTAAAATTCAGCAAAATCAGCAACTTAATTTCATAGGATTAACTCAAGACAGTGAAATAATTCTGTCATTTGCAAAATCCCTTTTCATGTGCTCTTAATTTGACTACACTATTCAATATTATACCAGGCCAAAAGGGGATGACTCTGCTGAATAAAGACGTTTTCACATGTAAACCTTAACAAAGACCTCCAGTCTGCGGTGTACCTGCAAATACACAGATCACTGTCAGCAGTCTCACTGTTTTCAGATTTACCACTACCTTGCAGAAGTGTAAGAAATTAAAAGAAAAAAGATAAATTAAAAGCACAGATGACAAAGAAGCAATGTGTTTTCTTCTCTGCAAGCAGCTTGCAAAAGCTTTAGCAAAGATAACCTCATCTATTTGACACCATATAAAAGAAGGAAAAGTATTTTCTACTTAAATTTATGATAAACTACTTTAGCTTTCTTTTAATGACTTGGAAGAAGGGAACGGGTTTTATTAGCCATTTTTTGGGGTAGAACCAGAGCCTTCGAGCTACCATCAAGATTTACATTTGTAATTCAGCTAATGGAAGACAACCCTGGCTCCTGAAAACAATGAGAGTACACCGAGTTGAGACAGTTCCACTGTGAGTTTAATTCCTGACTGCCCAAGTGGGACAGAGTAATCTGGGAGTTTACAACTTTCTGCATGACAGCAAAATGTGATCAAATTCACCTGAAATATAAGCAGCTCATAAAAAGATTAAACATGACAAGCTAAAGGGAAGAAATAAGAAACTGTATGATACAAACTACATACCTAAAACTACCCCCAGCATGCCATCCTTCTTAGAAAAATAGACATACTGGGGTTTTCACTTGTGACCTTTAAATCGAAAGTTTATTTGGCAATTTAAAGACAAGTAATTAAATTAAATTGTGCAAACATATTTTAGATCAATCCGTGCAAATTACAAATTCAGTGGTGCATTAGGACTGTATTCAATGCAATCAAAACATTATCAGTTACTCTCACTGCTATTAATGCCTATGCTCATAAGTGAAATGTGTTGTAAAATTAGGCAGAATAGGCTGGATAGAGGCTATCTTAGACTTGTAGAATGAATAAGCATTCCTTAATTAGCCCATCAGGTTAAGTGCAAGCCTTAATGGGCCTTTCCTAAAGTCTAGCATGACATCTTTCTCCAAACATGGCCAAGAAGAAAGTTCCATTAGCAATATTAATACAAGCTTAGTTGATCATTTTCATTCAATTAACTTCTTTCAATTAAATAGATAGCTTGACAAAAGCAGTGATAAAAAGACCTGAAGGGACAGCTGATGACTCCAACTGAACATTAGTGTGCGAGAGGTCGCCAGTACTAAACGGACTGTAAATCTAGCATTCAATTTGGAAAATGCATTTCTTCTGCTCCCACTTCTTTAATGAGCAATTTTAGCTGACTAGATGTGTTTGCTGCAGAACTTTCATGACAAGTCAAGCACTCCTTTTTTTTCGGCAACAGTTATATTAGGTTTTTTCCTGCCAACATTTTCAGCTTCTCTTAACTCATGTCTTAGGTAGGATGTCATGGATAAAGCTGGCAGAAATACATTGGTAGATACCCATAAAAAATGCACATTACTTTTACATTTGCTAAGCTGGATTAACCGTCCCATCAGTATTCCATCAAACCCGAAAGGAGTAGTACAAACAAATTTTAGTAGAACACCAACAGAACTAATGCAGCATGGTGCCAATTTAGTGAAGCCTTTAATACAGAACTTCAGTAGTCACATGACTCAGAGAATCTACATGAAGATATAATTACACACCTACATGAAGATATAATTACATGCTTGAATACTTTGCTGAATGACAGTCCAAGTTAAAACCTATATCCTATATGGTCACTTTTTTATAAACAAGGTAAGCAAGAAAATTAAATTAAGATTTGTCAGAAGGAAAAAAAATTTGCTAGTTATCAGAATGTAATTACTCAAAATTTAGCATATGGACCAAAAAGCTACACTCCCAAATCCATATTCCTTGTAGCAATTGTATTAAAACTATAATTGGAGAAAAAAGCAAAAGAAGAAAAATAATAATAATAAAAAAAACCTCTAATCTCAAAACTTCAGCAGAAGCTTGAAAAATTTTATTAAACTATGTTCTGAAAATTGGCACAATTTACCTTGAATAACTGAATCCACCTTTTTTGTTCCGTCTGAATACATTGCTGCATTTCTGTATTTTTTGTTACTCCAACACTTCTAAATGCTGCAATATATTCCTCACGAACCTCTGGTTTTGTTTCTGGGTAAGCCAACTTGATGATTCCCAAGCATGCATCTCGAAGGCAGCGTGACAATATTACAAGTTCCTCTAGTGTAAAAGGCATCATTGATGATTGTCTTTGACCTACAACTACATAAAACACAAGTTTAAATTTCCTAAATGGCTCTTAATCATTTTGTTATTAAATAAACAAACTCATTTCACTGGAACTTTAATACTCACACAACAAAATTTAAAAGGTAGAGACAAGAAACACCTCCCAGAAAGTGAATGAGTATACATTTATAAAGGTGATCAGGTCTTGTAATTGCTCGCAGACACAATGATTTTAATTATAATACTGTCTTATTGCCTTTGGTGATTCCTATTATGTTAAATTTTACGTAAGACTACATGTTCAGGCCAGAACTTCACTCTCTTCACTAACTGATTAAAAACTGTCATGATTAAGAACTTCCATATCAGACCCTGTAAAGCTAGGGTTCCCAAGGCACAGACCATCACTCTTCTCTTTTCTCTGAATGCAATCCCGGTGAAAGAGCCAGCTGACAGCTGAGTGCTTGGGGGACTCTCAGCAAGTCAGCCCAGAGGAGCCCTCCCCACAGATGTCAGCAAACCATTGCCAAGGGAACTCTGCAGCCTGGCACAAAAACATTTTGCAAAGCACTCCTATTTAGTATGCTTGAAACTCACCTTCTATTGGATCACCAAAGAATTCATTATCGTGAATAGAAATAAGTGAATGACTAAACAAAGAACTAAAAAGGTAGAAGAGAGGGATAATTCGACTGGAGTCTTCTAAAGACATTGGAGAGCCTCTTGAAATCACTTGAAGGAGTGGCACCATAGACCTTAAAATATAAAATGCAAAATTAAAGAGATGGTTAATCAAATACTCTAAAAAGGTATTAACTTCAGCACTCCATTAAAAAATTTAGTAGTAGTTCCTACAGCAAAATAGGGTAAGCAATCTCAGTTAAATAACTACTATTTCCCATTCTTGCAAAATAAGGTTAGTCTTTTTAAGTTCTTGTCACCGTAATATCTCAGTGCCTTGATGATATATGAACTTTGGCATTACCTACTGCAGACTGCAGATATTTTCTGGTTTAGAGCACAGATACAAAGCAAAGAAAGCAATTAATCTGCATGTCAGCACAAGTCAAATCTGTAGGTCCAATGCCCCAGTTCCTGGGAACATGTTTCTGCCACCATCCATTTCTGGACTAGTCAAAGTATCTGAGATAAAACACAGATACTTGGGATGAAGTACTTGGGGGTTTGTTCAGTGCTTGTTATATTTGCTTCAGTGTTTGTTATATTGATGCTAGTAAACACTCCAAAAATACAAAACATCCACTTTATTCTACCTAAAGATATTTTTCTAAATAAAGATTTTATTTATGTACCTGTAATTATTTACAGCTGTCCAGTTTCCAAGATTTTGCTCAGTTTTATGAAATCATAGGAGCTAATTAACCATTACAGTTCGGGTTTTAATCTTCTTTGATGAGCACTGGATACAATTGTCTCACTCTCTTTTCTCTATATATGCTCTATTTTAACAAAGACTGAGTTTCAGAAATGGTACAATACATACCCTGTAATCATTCGTGTGGTCATTGAAGATATCAAATACCAGAGATGCCTCAGGAATCTGGCATTAAAGGCTAAACTATAAAGAAGCCTGCAAGAGGAAGTTCAAATAAATTGTGTCTTCCAAAGTACTGTATTCACAAAACACAATGCTACTATATGAACTTTTCTGTCAAGCCTCTCTCAGACATTAACAATTTAAATAACTTTTCAAGATGGAGGTTCTTATTCTATACAAATGTGGTGAAAGCTGCTAAAGCTGAAAAACAAGCATATAATCCTTATCCCAAAAATAGTTTTCATTAACTCAGCAACAAACCACACAAGATAAACACAAGTCTGCTGTATTCCACACAATTAAACACATATTAATAAAAATAACACATACTCTGGGATTCTTTTTAAATTCTAATATAGAAAGTCACACGAAGTAGTTCACTTGTCACTTGTGTGGTTCTTCTGACATTAGCAAACAAAACAGTCACTTTTGCAAAATGGTAGGAGGGCAAACTAGCTGCTGCCTGACCACATGGATAAATTAGAATTTGCCAGATGGCAAAAGGAAGCTCACATTTCATTAAGAAAAAAAGCAAAATATCAGTAAACACTTAAAAACATTTGAGAATGGTTTAAGCAGCAATTCTTTTAAAGACATGAAAACAAACAAACAAACAAAAAAACCCGACACAACAAAACCTACATGCCCACTCACAACCAAACACTGGGGAGCAGGGGTATGCCTCGGGGTCCTCACTCACTGCCTGCTGAGGACCTGCAGGCTCTTTCTTGAGCCTTTGCTGAAGTACACCCCTCCCACCCACCCAGCCACAGCTCATCAGAAAAAGGAAAAACAATACAGAACCAACCTCTGGTTTGTGGTGTCTCTGCTTAAACACCACCCCTCTTACTTCAGAAACTCTGAATTTTAAATACACAGATCAGTACCTTGGGAAAGAGAGTTTGGAGCTTCACATATTCCAGAAGTTTCATGTTGGTGATCACCTCTAAGTTTGAGTCAAATTTGAAGCAACTGTAGCTAATGCCAGTTTAAGATAAGTTTTATTGTAAAATTAAGTTCTACATTAAGTAAGTGGAGTTTTTGAAAAAATTCAACCTGAATTTGATACGTGGGAGCTTTACTTTCTTCTAAAGTCACATTATTTTGACATTTGGGTGGAAATTGTGCTTTATCATGTAAGGAAGGGCTTATATCTAGCTAATTTAGAATAAGGATTTGTACTTTAATGTTTAAATATCTGAATGATAGTTCAGATGTCTTGGTTTCTGAAATGAGAAATTTCCTCAGTGACCTTCAGTTTTCAGCCTTATATTTGAAAAGTAATTTGGCACAGTGCCATTAGGTCTCACAGGGCTTCCAAGTAAAAACTTGTTAATTTTACAATCATCCCAGGAAATCGTGTAATAGTTTTAGCAGAAATGAACAAACATTATGGATACTGAACCTATCATAATGTAATTCATTTTTTCATTCTAGCAATATTCAGCAATAATGAAGGAAAAAAAGGACAAACTGTAAGAGCTTATAATAATAACCTTTGTCTAAGTTTTAGCCATTTTTATTCCATGTCTGTGATTCAGGCAGTCAGCTGTAGCAACTGCTACGTTTCATGGCCCCGTTCCAGAAATGTTGAATGTATCAACTTTCACATTTCCCTTCCCTGAAAATCTGGTTAAATACAAAATGCAAATTTGGTAGAATATATTTCATATTGACAAAACAGGCTCTATGATAAGACCTATGAAATATGAAGCAGATTAATTAATCAATTCTTAAGTTTCTGTGCTGTTACCAGAACATAAACATGAAACTGCATACTCAACACATAATTAGGCCTTATGTCACATCAATTTTACCTCACTAGACTCACCTGAAATATAATCCATTACAAAAAGAATAACAGCAGAAAATCTACTACACTCCCAACCTGTGTATGGAAATTGGCTTTCACAGTAGAAGGTAACAATTCTAGCAAAAAAAAAAATCCACAATGCAAGGATGGCCTTGAAAACCAGCATCTCTGTGAAAGCTCAAAAATTTGTACTAAAAATTTACAAAATCAGACATTATTTCTTTTTATGTATTTTTTTTTATAATCTGAGGGGTTTCATTTTCAGTATTTGTACTACTCTAAAATCAAACCGAAGGATTAAATTTTATACTTTGGGTTTTTACCACCCCCATCCTGCATTTTCTTGAAAATCTCACCACACAGCACCAACTTTTTAGCATGAGATCATTACACATGGTTTCATGTAATGAATTAATTAATAGATTTTCTGTAAAGTTCAATATTCAGATTTAGCACTGTAGTTTGGGAGGAAAAAAAAATAATTTCTAGTACCACAAAGGATAAGCTCCTTTCAAGTGGAAAAATGCACACTGCCCCAGCCACAGGCTATGACAGAGTTAAATTCACTCCCATTATTTCTGTTAAGGATTTATTTTAATCATACCAAATTAAATTATCTGCTCCCCAAAGTAAGTACATAACGATCATTTATTTAGAACCTTGTTTCTCTCTGTAGGTATCTAATTGTCCACAAAGGCCACATGATTTATGTGTACTTGCCATAATAGTATTTTGGGCACCTCTGGTTTAAAAAAAGTGTTGAATTCCTCCTGCGCAATGGGACAGATTAAATGACCCATTAAGCTTAATTTAGCTGAGGCACCACTACAAGTTAATTAGTTAAAGGCAAGATTTTCAGTCTAGGTCATAAATTGGGCCCAGCTTCCCACTGAGACCATTTAAGTTAATGAAGAGAATACACTAGAATGAGACAGCTCATACAGCCTGTGAAAGGTCACTGCTGCCGGGGCGGCAGACTCTGCCACTCCCCCACCACAAGGTGTCCCCGGGAGGAGACAGCTGCTCCCAAAGCCATCGCCCAGTGACCCACGCTGCTCTCCGCGCTCTTCTGAGCTCCTGCCGCTCCTCGCATCGGACCCAGAATGTAAAGTGAAGCTTAAGAACAGAAGGAAGAACTACACACACACAATGATTCTGGCTTTAAGAAAAACACAACAGTGTAGAATTACTGAAATAGCTTCATGTAAAGCCCAAGAATGTCCAGCACACTTACGAGGACAGTCTGCTCATATTACACTAGAATGTGTTTTACAAACAATTTCCAACCTCAGGTTAAGATTAGCAATGTTAATCAAATAGTAATAATGTACAGTCACCATGAAACTGTTAAACCAAGATTAGCAATCACCCTGGGGCACTGATCAGACACCTGATAGCAACTGAAGTCCCAGCACAAGCAGTTTCCATCACTATTTAATATTAAGCCATAGCAACAATGACCTGAAGTCTACGCTATTAAATTACGCTCCTAAATATTTTGCAGGAACAGAATATACTGGTTATTTAAAGTATAATGGTGATGGACAAATGTCTTGCAAATCTCTTTATAATGAGAAGACTCAAGTTTTCTTTTCCTTAATAACTGTATTCAAAAATATGTATCTACTTCCAACCAAAAAGATGAAAGCCCTGCCCCTCTGAAAACAAGCACAATTCCCAATGACTTCACTACAATCAGGATTTTATTTTGCACCCCTCATGTGGCTTACTGAGCACTAGCCACAGCTAGGTTTTTCCAGTCTTGTGGCCTTTTTCTTTAATTGGGCTAGATTACATCATCTCAGAATTTACTCAGAGTTTATCAAAATTCCTAACAACTAACCCAAAGCCAAGTGCTTCTCCAATAATCCACCTCTGGATCTCACCACTCTCTGTAGAGAACCAGAAAGGCACTTTGGAGGCTTGTTCCTTCTGTTCAAAATTACATTGTACTTTTTGGTATCTTGGTCTGTTCTCTCTTGGTCTCTGCTGCAAAACCAAAGAAACTACTGAGCTAATACAGCAACACTGATGTTCCTAACACCGTGCAGTATCATCATCAGTCTTAGCCAAGATGTACTGAGAAGCCACAAGAAGAAAAGCATTCAGGTTTAATGGACTGACATAAGTCTATATGATGATTTTCCCATCTTTTTTTCCAAGAAAGAAAAAAGCCTCAGAGCTATTAAAACAATACAGGGTTTATGGTTTCCTCCCTTCCAAAGCCTCTGCTAACTTTAGGCTCCTTTTCTTTACAATTACTGAAGTTATTTTTAGTTATTACCCTCTTTAATTTCCCACTCTGCACACTTGCCACCTTTATGTTTTTAGTTATTATTTTCTACTACAGTTGTAAATGCTGCTGAAGAAGCAAAGCCTTTGTAACAACCTTTTCTATCTTTCAAACCATTTGACCCGGTATGTTTCAAAACAGAAAATAAAAGAGCATTCTCAGTTCTTAGAATATTTCAAAGTAAGTGAAGCATCTCTCAAAGACTGCCATTAAATTTGGAAAAATAATTTGGGCAATAAAAAAAAATAATCAGGCAATTTAAAAAAAGTGGAATTTAATTACAAAATAATCTTCTAATTGTCATTTGAAATGGCACAATATTTACTACCTGTAAAACAACCATCAAATGTCCTTTGACTAACAATCAAAAATAATGTTTAGAATAGCTGCTTGGTAACTTAGGCCAGGCCTAAAATGCACTGAGAATAGGACAAAAGATTGACACCTCCTGACATGATGATGCCTGGCAAAACCCAATAGTCAAAACTGACTCGGAAGTCAGAACTAGTAATTAAATGTCTACTTTAATTTACCAAGTACCTGTATGAATTAACTTTATTTTGACCACAGCAGTAATTCCACTGGTATTACTGAGAAAAATCTTAGTATCTCTACTGCTTATTTCTAAAATTGGTACATTCAACTGTTTTTGAGCTATTCAGAAGTTAAAACTGCTTTCTGTCAGAAGATGCTGAGTAGAGCTTTAGTAACTCCTGAATTTATCCAATGTGTAACTAGCTTGTAACCACAAATAACTGCGAAGACCCAGTGTGGCTTCTCAGAGGAAACAGATGCCATACTCCTACCATTAAAGTTCTGTGTGACTTCTTTACTCATTAAACACCCTCTTCCACACAGTTCACCAGCGAACCTCGAGTCAAAGCACTGATGCATTTAAAGCCAGTAATTACTATCCAAGGCAATGTACAACTCCCAACAATAAAGTGGGCATACTAACTCTACTGCTGCTATGATCTTCAGGTCTCACATCCTGCTCTAATGCAATTAGTCTACAAAGAACTAATTACCCTAATCGAGCAATCACAGTTTCACTGACATCTTACTTCCTCTAACAGCTATAAACACCACTGGGCTAAGATAGCACCTAATTAGTTTTCTGTATCACTGTTTACAATGCAGTTTGAATTGATTATGTTTACAACATTCCCTAAATACTTACTTTACTATCAGCAACTGCATACTTACTCAAAACTATTTGCACCAGAACAGTGTTAATACTTATGGGTCTGGTCTGATAATAAAAAGGTCAAAAATCTTCCATTGTAACTGCCATTTGTAGTTTGCAGTATCTGTAAAAGAATGCTGTACAAATGAACAGGTTTTTTATCTCCATCAGCTGGGCCAAAGCCCTTCCCAAACAGCAACACTAATTTTCAATAGTTGGGAAGTGGTTTAATTTGTAACAAGAGAGATCTTGGCTACATCTTAATTAAAGAGGGCAGAGAACAAGTTGGTTTCAGTGCTCAGCTAGCTAGAGAGACTGTGGAAACCCTGTCACTGGAAGCTTTAAAAAGCTAGATAAATTTGTGCTAGGATGACACTTAACACTGCCTCTCAGCAGGGGGACAGATAAACTCCTTTCAAAAATCTCTGCAATCCTTATTTCTGCACATTATTCACAAACACTACCTGTTCTATAGTCCTCAATGTGATGATGCAATACAAACTTATTTGAAACTCACTACACAAACCAAGAGCTTACACTTTTGGATTCGTGATTACTCTAAAGAAAGCACAACAAACAAGAAGAAAAACAAGCAACAGAAAGAAGCCACTATTTGGTTTGCCTGGAATGACTATTTAAATTCTGAAATTCTTATTGATTTCAGCTGATCATAAAAGAAAAACAAACAAACCACGAAGAGAAAAAATCCACACAGGGTATTTAAAATAAATCTATCTAATAAAATAAATGTTAGATGTACCGTGGTTCAACATCACTATTATCTGTACTTGCCTGACTTTTGGCACCATCATTCGGTGTTGCACCATCAGCGTGTGGCAGATTGATGCCATCAGGGTAAAGACTTCTTCACTGGCTGAATCTCTCCAAACCATATTCAGTAGAGTGTTTGTCTGTTGCTTTGTATCCAGTTTCTTTAGACACTCCTCAGTTATGTACTGAACTGATATTCTCCCATCACCCTACAAACGCACCAAAAAAAAAAAAAAGAAAAAATTGCTTTAAGTCATTAATGATCAAGTATCCCCTTTTACAACAACAAAAAATACTGAAACAAAGTTTTCTTGGAAATTATTAAAACGTAAGCACATATGCATATACTAGAAGCATTCTTAAAAGATTCAGACTCAAGGGCCAACTTAAATCTCTAGGTAGGCAACTGTTGGGTTCTGGTATTTATCTTTTCACTTAGGTCAGTGGGAAAGTCTCCCTTTAATGAAAGCATGTTCTGCAACATGGATACAATAAGGCAAGATCATTTACTGGAATAAAATACACAAACAGTCATTTCTTCTCCACTGGCATCAGTGAGCATTGGACGTGTAATCTAGAAGTGGATGTCTACTGTAAAACCCTTTACAAACAGTATTTTCACATTCATAAGCAATGGTTTATCAAAACCAAAAAAACTTCAGGGTGGCTAATACACATTTGGGTAGTATCAGAATCTGCCAATATTTACATCATGTACACAGTGTGCCTGTCTGGCAAATTAAGCATTTTATTCATACTCTCTTGGTAAAGATTTTGGGGTAGTGGTACCACACTGCATCTAAAAATTCACAAGTAAAAGGCTGCATGGATTCCCCAGCAGTATAGCTCTTCATAACAGGTTACTCTCAATATCAAGGTCTTAAAAATGTTGCATCTTTCAGAAGTGTACATCACTTTACACAAAATTTAAGTAGGCATTATAGGAACAGCATCTCTGAGAAGACATGGTACACTTGTGCTTTCAACACTTAACCAAGAGAATGCCAGGATGCCTTAGAATGCCTGAGAGAGAGTCAAAATTCCTAAATCCCCAGCTCCATATGAAGAGACAAAATAATCTATGAGGTTTTTTTTTACTGAACCCCAAGTATGGGGAAATTTCACACATTCCTCAAGGAAAGACTGCACACTGCCCAAGTCCTTTGAATGGTACTGTCTTTCGAGATACCATATAAAACCAGTAGGAAACTGCTGAATTTACATTTCTCCAACTCTGGTTGTTCAAAGCCTCGATCCGAGCACCAGGAGGTTAAAGTTAGCACAGGTTCATTTTACTGGTGGAAGTCTGAACTAGTGAAAAGTTCTATTTATAATAAAGTCTCTATACATTATTATAGAAAGCAAGTGTTCCCCTTTTGAGGGCTTTCCAGGTAGTGGATATTTTTAAAGACAGAGCTACAGGGTAAAGACTGTGGCTGAATTTGTAACATTACCATACAAACAAACAAACAAAAAAAAAAAAACAAACACAAACTAAAAAAAAAAAACCACACAAACCACACCAAACCCCTAAGGTGGAAAATCAGACTGGTATGTTTCATGCTACCTTCTCATCATCAGAGACTTAGAGAATACAGAGTAATGCAGTCTCTTCAAAATAGCAATTTAAAGAAAAGACTTTTAAACTTAGAAGTTAAATAAAAGCTCTGACCTTCAGCAGACACACTACCTGTCCTATTGGATTTCTTATTTTATTATTTAACATATAGTAAGGAGTTTGTTTTCAATGCAAACAACCAATTCCATCTGCTTACAGTGAGCAAGCATCTATTTTTAACAAGTAAACACGCTCCCTTCTGTATGTAGCTAGAAAAATACTGGACTTACAGTGATCATGATTTTGGCTACATTTGCTGCTGCTATAATACAAGTTTATCTGAAGAAATTCTGTACTACTTACTGGTGTAGTTGTCATTTTACTGATCTCTTCATCCTCATCTTCAGAGTCACTGTTTGCATCTTGACAATTTGTACCAGCAGTAGACACAGGCAGCTGAGAGAGAAAAGTTTGGAGTACCCTCAAATACACAAGAAGACCTTCCTCTGAAAGGGATCCTACAGCACATACATTGAAACAAAGGACTGTTAGCCAGATCACACTGTACTATAAAATATATTTAACCAGAAACACCTGACCAAAACACATTATGTGAAATCTTTCCAAAGTATGTGTATTTTTTACTGAAAGGGGCAAGTTAAAACTGATCTCTCCACAATTTCTACACACAAACTGTCTTTTTTGCTTGGCAATGAGCCACATTGTGGAAATACATACTAACTCAAATACAAAAAAAAACAAAAAAAAAAAAACACAATTAATTGATTATTCAGCTTTCTTACCCAAATAGGTTTCTCCAACTGTTAACACGAAGTAAAAAAGCCACGGGGCTTGATCACTTCTTCTGGAAGATCCACTTTCTGTTAATAATAGTGCATTCAGAAAGAGTTCATAAGGGAAAACAGTCTGCACATCAGCGAGCGCTGGAATGATGAAATGGAATATCTGATCTGTAAAAGGTGCTGCCAGAAACTCCTCTGTGAAGGCTGCAAAAATCTGCTGCCTGAAAAGAAGAAGAACTGTCTTTGTAGAAAATATAGGCAAAATTTCCCACGTTTATATCCAGGAATAACAGATCAATTTGCAAGTTTTAACTCGTCCATCAAGAAGACTGCAAAGATGCTCTCCATTCATCCTGTGCTAAAACAAAATTTCTCAGACTTCTCAAAAATTTTCTTATACTATCACTGTTTTCCTGATGACCTCACATGTGATTTTATGCCTGAAATTTTTCATGAACTCACAGAAAACCATTCTGAAGTTAAATTTGTGGTTTAGAATTTGTAATAAAAAAAAATAAATTTAAAAAGAACAATTAGTCTTTTTCCGCCCCAGACCACTGCTTCAACACAAAACACTATTACAACCAGAGTTTGATTTTTTATACGTATCCAATTCTTTCTGCTTGCAAGCTATGACTTACTTCTCTCCACAAACCTCAGCTCCTCTGTCACAAAGTTCTTTTGAACTCTAAAATTATTTTCATCTGCTATTAATTGCACCTCTGCCCATCTAAGTGTTTCCACACCTATGTTCTTCTGTATTGTGATACATGCTCTCCTCTGTACTTTATTTATTGTAGTCTTCGACATTTTATTGGCTTTTTCTCAAACACATCTGAAACTACATTGTTACATCAATGTACGGCACTACCAAAAAATCATTACTATTGCAAATAAATTGACAAACTGAGCTAAAATAATAGCGAGACAACAATGACAAACTGTGCACCTCTGGCAGCAACAAATGATTATACAAATATCCAGTATTAACTTTATTTACCTTGCACCTTCTGGACAGGAGCTATATGTAAAGTGCAATGGCTTCAGAACATTCTCCAGAAGTATTTTTGCAATAGGGACTCGAGAAACATCAGAATACTCAATACTCGAGGGAAGCTTATTGTTAATTAACAAATAAAGCGACTTGTAGTAGCCTGCAAATAAGAAATATTTTTTAAATACAGTATTTTATTCTTTTCTGTATAAAACAATTTATATTCTTAACATTCACTTGAAAAATACTTTACAATTAATTGCATGGAGCTTTACTTAGGAAGACGTCACAGTAGTCCAAGTCACACTCACATAACAGGATATATCAGCAACCTCTTTGGAATATCACTTTATAAAATCATAGTTACTTGCATTCAGAGTTAGGTTGATTTGCAAGGACTGCTTGCTCCTGCTGATTAAGTAATTATTATTTTTTAAACAACAACATATGAAAAAGATATTCTCTTCTCTCAGTGACTTCAGTCATGCTTTTGACAGCTATCCTTCCACCCTTTCAGAAATGAGGCATTTTCCCCTCTACTTCAAAATACAACTGCATCATAAATTCCCACTGGGTAAATGTCCCAATTCTATGGACACCTTGCCTTAGCAGCCTGAAGAATACACTTATTGTTTCCAAAACAGGGATCTCTCAGGCAGTAAGAAAATGCATTACCACCCAAGCCATAAAGACATGTGTAGTTGCTAAACTATTTCTGTCCCACAAAGATTCAAACAATCACATGATTTCATTCTTAAACCAACTTCCTCTTGCTCACTGAACTCCTAAACTAAGACTCAAGTTCCACAACTACAGGAACCTCTGTGAATGGATAAAGACTGTCACACCACTGAGTTCCAGCCTAAGATGCTTTGATGGCAACTACCTAACCCAACACAAAATGCAACAAGCGGAAGTCACCATAAATTAATAACTTAGCAACAGGGTGCACATTGAAGACAAATTATATGCAAAAAAGTATACTAAAAAAAGCTTATTTTATTAGTATCAGTTTCTTTACAAGTTAATTATCCTCATTTATGACAACAGAACACTTGTATTTGTGCACAACTGCTTCTTTTTTTCATTAGAAGTGATCAGAAAGCTGAATTTGCTTATGAAAATCTAACATCTTGATACATTTTAATCTATCGTTTGTGAGGACTGACTATTACGCTAAAAGAACAAACAAGTATTTGCCTACTATGCCTAGGCAAGTAAAAGAAATGTGCTGCAATAGAAGTAATTTTTTTTCCTCCCATAATGACTTCAACATGTAGTAGTTAAGCTCTTAGTAACAGGGTAAGATAGCCTAGTCCACTTAATATACTTTAAAACTGACATAGAATTATTCCAACAATTAACTAACAATTTGAAGGTGCCTTTTTTTTTTTTTTTGTGGTTTTATACCACTGAAGCGGTATCTGAGGTGTTTATCTATAGTGTTTTTGTCTTTTTTTCCCCACCCACAAGTCCTGTAAACTCAAGCTAAAGTGCCAAATTAATTTTTTCACACATTCCCAGAGTAATAAAGTTTCTTGGAGACAAACCGTAATTTTGGCGATAACGACACAATTCATTAACTTTCAGTATGTTTGCACAGGTGGAACTGAATGTAGTTTAGCAAACAGTTTTGCTGCTGATGGTTCAAGGGAAACAAAAGCTGGGTCACTGTCCCTTCCCTACGGTGTCTGCAGTGTCAGCAGAATGAAACGAGGTGGTGCCAGTTTATGGTAGGAATGAACATGAGCAGCTAGAGAACAGCACTGCGCCACGGTGCCCAACCTCCACACGACTGAGGCTTAGACTGGGCACGGCGTGTGTGCACACAGCTACTAGAATAAAATTTTGCTTGGATAATACCCACTTACTCCCAAAATCTGTGCTAATAGTCTGTATAAGTAATTTGGTAGAATATTAAATTTATAAACAGAATTTCCAAAGAAATCAAAAAGTAATTTCTCAACAGTGATCGCCTTACAAGCAAAACATCCATCTTATGTATAGGCTGATGTACACAGCATTTAATTCATCATGTCTGTGATAAAGGCAAAAAAATGATTAACCAACATGGTCCCCACATATTACACAGTCTGTTTAACTTCTGAGTATTTCCCAGAACTTCTACTTCCTACCTACTCACCTTTTTGAATCATGTAGTGCAAAATTTGTTCAATTAATGATGTCACATAGCTGACATCTTGTAAAACAGGCAAATACGTATTCTCAGATGAAAATACCTCAAGCATTCTCATAGGAAGTGCAACATTCAGACTGTCGTCATTGCAATTTTGCAATAGCCTATAAATGAAATTAAATAAAAATTACTTAACAAGGTATTTCTCTTATTTCACCACAGGCACATATACACTAATTTAAAAATAAAACTACAAAAATACAATCACATTCACTTAAAATAAGTTTTTTTTCTACTGAGTTTCCAAGCGTTATCAGTAGTTCAGCTACATCTTTTTGTTGGCATCTTTATAATAATAATTCCTGGTTTTAGGGTTGTTATGAATATGGCACTCTGTAAATCCTACTAAATTCTTCCTTTCAGTGACTTGAAAGTTTGGAATTCTATTGCATGAATTGGAAGAGAAGCAAAGAAAAATCCATGTTTTTCCAACATGAATTACTACCCAGATTGAAAATGAAGCCATGAAAGCCCCAAAGCAATATGGGCTGGGAACGAACATTGGGAAACATACGTATAACTAAAACATAATGACTGTGGTTACAGACTGAAATGCTAAAAATACAGCCCTTCCCATCCTCTTAGCAGGTTGCTTATGAAATAACTACCAGTAACCACAGAAATGGTGAAGATTATTGAAGTAATTGTGCCCTTTTACTCAGCACTGATGAAGCCACACCTCAAGTACTGTGTTCAGTTTTAGCCACTTCAATACAAAAAGACACTGAGGAAGTGCAACATTCAGACTGGCATCATTGCAATTTTTGCAATAGCCTATAAATGAAATTAAATCAGAATTGTTAAACAAGGTATTTCTTTTATTTCACCACAGGCATATATACACTAAGGTGAAAATAAAACTACAAAACCCATTCACATTCACCTTAAAATAACTTTTTTTCTACTGTTTCTCCAAGTGTTACCAGTACCCTCCTATGACCCTCTTAGGATCTCCTCACTACAAATAATAAATGTACTGCTGGAGCCAGTAATGTAACTCCATAACATGCTTAAAATTCAAAATAAAGTGTGAGGAAAGGCATCTTAAGTACTATTAGTTTTAAAACAAAATATACCCAAAGCATATCCTCAAAACATTAGTCTAACTCTGATAGTATCTTCTAATCATCATCAATTCTCAAGAAACCCTTCCAGACTTCACAGACATTGCTAATCATATTGCTATACGCACACAGTTAAGAGCACACTTAAGCCTATCCGTAGGCAGAGCATCCTTTATGCACACATTGAACTTGGATGTCAGTGGAGTTTAAGAACATTCCATTGTTCTTACATAGAAACAAGTATGCTACACCACAGCCTACAAGTATATTTAACATTAACAGTCCTCTCCATAAAATAAATTTACATTTAATACTTCACCCACTGCAAAAAGAAACAAATGCCCAACAATTTCTGAACACATTTTAGACAGTAGCACCTAAAAAACAGAATTTACCTGCAACACAGCCCCAACAGTCTTTTTATTTGGAATAAGCAAGTAAGTCTGTCTGGACCATCCAATTGTTTAATGAACTGAGAACTCTGTTTAATTAAATTCTGACACATCCATACCTGGGAAAAGATATGCACAAGTTTACTGTTCATAACGAGCTATATTATTATTTACTGCAACACAGACAGTAATATTTTAGTCCTTTTTTAGATACCTTTGGAGGACTGACAAAATACAAAGACAGTAACATTCAGCAGAGGAAAAAAAATTGTTGCACAAACTACATGACTGCTACTACTAAACTTTCAAATTTAAGAATGAATTACACTTACAGATAACTTCACTCTTGCAACAGGCTTATGTGCGGTTTTTTGTTTGTTTTTAAATAACCATATTCTTTAATGCCCATTATTAATATCTGATAAGCTTAGGAAGTCTGCAGTGGCTCTGCAATTGATACACCAACATTACTGACTAGTGAGAGAAAAATAACCAACCCAAACACCTTAGGAATGGCTAGAATTTTAATTTATTCTGTCTAAATGAAAACCAGCAGAGTGAAGGCCAGCAAAAGCCAGAATTCTTAAATGAATTTACTAAATTGGTCAAATCCAATGGGAGTATCCTTTCAAAGTGAAAGGGTGCTTTAAAATTATATGAAATAAAAGTACTAGAGCTCAAAGTATGTAGCAGTACTCACCAAACGCTTAGAATCCTCATTCTGCCTATAGAAAAAGAGTAACTGACGAACTAAAAGAGTCAAATTAGCTCCATTGGCAGTAGAAAAGGTTCCTCCAGATTGGGCCAAATCAGCACAGCGATCAAACTCACTTCTTTGGATGGAATACTTAAAAACAAGACACGCATGGATGTATCAATAATGGTTACAATTTAAAATAGAGATGCAAAACTTTTAAAACTTTGTTTCAGCTTCCCATCCAGAGCTGTTGCAAAGTAGTAACATGGATACAACACATATTTAAGAGATCAAAACATATACACAATATCATAGTTAAAGCCATAACTGCTTTCTGGAATTCAGAAAGGACACATGGTGACAAACGTGTTGCTTTTCCAGTAAAGAATATCACAATCAAACATTTCCATCCTGTTTACTCAGTAACTACCAGCAAATTTAAACAAACAACTCTTTCTTAGAATAATCTACCCTACAAGCAGCTTCAAAAGAATATATTTTTGACTCAAACTACCACCTTAGCCACACCGGGGGGAAATAAGCTCCACTGGTGTGTTGAAGTTGCTAATACCTAACTGTTCTCATTTGCTTTGTCAGCCCAAAAAACCATTGTGCAATCCCACTGAAGTCCACTGTCACAGATGTGCTTTGCAGAATAAATGTCCACCTGCTAAAACACTGAGGTTCAAAACAAAATGCCAAGAGGGAAAAAGAACCTCCATTTTCTGATCACACACAGGACCTGAAAAGGTGACTTTTTTTTTTTTTTTTAACAGAATTATTACTAGAAAGTCTCACTTAAAAAAAAAAAGTTTCACACCTTTCTAAATAAATAAGTACTTACCTGATGTTTTCTGTCTCTGTACCCTCTTACAAACGACTGGATTATTATTGCATTTTTCAGTCTCCGCCTTTCTTCCTGTGAAACAAAGCAAGAAAACTGAAATCAGCATTGTGGAACTGACTCAAATTTCTACCATTTTATAAAATGTATTTGCATTCAAAAGGAATTTTTTTTAAATTAAAATTACGCATTCATCATTAGTAAAATAAAGCATTTGAAGGTTTGCATCCCGTAAGTCAGGGAGAAAGCATTTTATGTTTTTAAGTGAAAATCTGCCATTAAGATACCACAAAAGAATTTTTAATATTCAAGAAGCATGTAAAACTATAGAAATCAAACGCATTTGTATTTTATTAGAAAAAGTCTTAATACTAAAATGATGAAGAATTCATCAAATTCAATGACAGCATTCCTCCTCCTGCATAGATCAGGTTAAACTGAAGACACATTTATGTGTTTCCATTCAAATAATTCATCACTATTATGAGGCTGGTGCAGTTCACATGTGAGGATTAAAAAAAACCCCAAATCACACCAAAAAAATATCAGTTACTTGAAAACTATACTGCTGTCAAAATGAAAACAAGGCTTAAAGCTTTAAGCCCAGGAGCACAATATGGAAATTAATATAGATTCTTGCTCTCTCCTTCAAATCAGACATATAAAGTTAATAATTTTATGATGTCTTCCTCAGTAGCTAGAAAGAGTAGTTAAAATCATCCCTTCACAATGGCTCACTTTCTGAGGAACTGAAGGCTAGCTTGCTTAAGGTACAATGGAAAGTGCACTCAAGGAGTCCCTTGACAACATCCCCAGCACATTAAATATTTAAGGGAAGTGGCTACTGTAGCTAGGTTTCTAATAATGTCTATATAATTTCTAAGGGGATGAAAAGGGGAAATAGAGTAGTTGCTCATGAACCTCAAGCTACAAAGGTTGAGGAAGGCAAAGTAAGTACAAAGATCAAAAGATCAGAGAAGCCCACTTTGAGAAATTTGAACCTAAGCCTTGAATTATAATAAGCCCATAATTCCGAGGGCCACAAAGCAAACAAAACATTACAATGTTTTTGTAAATTTCACTAAAATACATTTGGGAAAGTTCACATAAACTTTCAGCTCAAAAAAACTTAACTTCTAATTTATTGTGCCATAAAGACGCATCCAACTTAAGAATTTAACCTGAGCTTACCAGAGAAACACCAAATGAAATTGCTATCCAATGTCTCCTTTATTTTTCTTGTACACCCTGGGTCCTAAAGCAATTTCTCTGAAGAGGCATATACCTGAAAGATTCTGATTACCTCTGGAGCGTGGACCAAAATCAAATTTTTGATAAGCCAAAGGGTATTTCTTTCTCCAGAGTACGTAACAGTAAAGGTGCAAAGCATGAGGGCAAGCAGGAGAGTTTCAATTACGGAGAGGTACTGTCTCTTCATAATCATAATGTAATGCTCAACTAAAACATAAGTATACTCTCCTTTTCTCTAGGTACAGGTTTTATCCTAGAATACATAATTGTCAATTAGCGACCCATAACTGCAAAGGTTTTAAGTCTGAGGTCACTGCTAAGATTCTGCTACAGGCATTTTTTTAAAAGCCATAACTGATTTTACTCTCGGAGGAGTCATTCGTTTAGTGAGAATCCGATACATGCCACAGAAAACGGTTGTGTGTTGTGTGGACATACACAGGCATGAGGATATGGCTGCACCAGCTTTACACCAGACAGGATTAAGCAACTGAACAGGTAGTTTTGATATGTGGCAAGAAGTTCATGAAGCATAAAGAAGTCTTTTTGCATATCTTGGTAAGGACACGGTTGTCATAAACTTGATTCAAAACCCAGCATTCTAAACTAACTGGTGAAATCCTAGGAAATTTGTGCTTAAACTTGGTCCATAATTATACACCCAGGTTGGAAAGAGAAAATAAACACAGTAACTGTCCTCAAGAGCCACTGCAGAACTTGTATTTAATCTAGCGTGGGTCACACACATCTTTAAGGGCCTGTTTTCTTCTTTACCATAAATCCTACATAGTTAGACATAAAAAATCATTTTTAAGATAAATTTTTTTCAACTCCTATCAGAGGAAAAAAAAACAGACAAAATGAACATTTTTGCTTTAATTCTGTACCAGTAAATTGTGTTTTCATATTGCCACACATATTCATGGGTTTTAAACTGGTGTTTTTTCCTTTCAATGCCTGTTTTTCCTTTGCGTTATTCCAGACTGAATTATCCGTGGCATTAAGCTTCTATCACAAACGAGTATTAAGGTTTCCTGAAGCCTCTCACCATCAGCTTGTCATTGATTCTCTGTTATCAGGCAATTTCAAAGCACTTCAGGATGCATTCAAGTTATCATTGTTCTGATTTTACCTTCACAGAACTGAGGCACACACTGGGGAAGTGAATTACTGAAGGTCATACAGGAAACCATAGCAGAACCAGGAGCAGAAGGCAGTATGCTGAGACCAGTGCATGGTAACAGATTACAGACAAGGCAAAAAAATGCCATTTACTAGCCAAATACCTATCTTTTCTTAACAAAGACCAGATCCAATGAGCACCAAAATAAAAGGAAAAATTCCCTTTGCAACCAGTGCAGGCTTCACTATCTTCTTGAGATGAAAATCACTTCTGGGAAGCATTTTAAAAGCAGTCAAACAGTTCATCAATTATAGTCTAGAAGACTATACAGAACTTGCAAACTGAAACAAAACATTCTGGAACTAAGTAGGACTGCAGCAGAAGTATTTTGGACTGTAAATGTTGCTACATCAAAGAAAAATGCAAGGTGCATGCAAACGCTTACAGTCTACTTTACCTCTCGTTTCCTCCGCTCCTCCTGAGTGCGATGCAGGAGAGAAGCCTTTTCTTCCTGCAAGGCACAAACAGAGACACTATGGCACTTCCATTCAAATACAATTCAAATATCTTCATTCTATTTAATCTAAACTTCACTTTGGGGATTGTTCATAACACGTAAAACACTGGAGAAAACGAGTGTTAACCACTCCCCATGCCTACGCACTCTTGGAGAGCAGCGCAGCGCTCTCACAGGCAGGTGAGGAAGGAAAGCTGTGGCACAAGAAGGCGGGCAGGCAAACAGCAGCCAGCGCCCTCAGCCCTGCCCAGGTTCATGTTCTCAGCACCCCAGTAACCCAGGCAAATATCATCCACTCACATCAGGGGGAACTAGGACACAGTAAGGTCCCAATCCTACCAGGTAGCACCAGAAGCTTATTAAGTGTTTTCCTTGCTTGGAAAGCAGGTAAGTCACAGGCTCAGGTGTGCACACAAGCTGTGGCACGTTCAGAGGGATCACGTGCTGTTACAAAGCCCCATGCTTGTCTCTAACTTACAGACAAGCTTGTCTAACAGCTCTTACATTCACTTGTCCTTTTCCTCTAAACTTGCCTGGAAAAGATGTTAGAACTGACTTACAGAACATACACGGCAGGAGTTTTTTATTTTAAAATTTTGAACTCTTCACCTAAATTAAGGCTGCAAACCAGAACTTTCAGGACAGTGGTCTGTCCAACAGAGAAAAAGAAGATCAAAGTAACACCTGCACACTAGCTTTTAAGCCACAACTTTAAATCAGTACATATAAATTACAAAAGATAAACAAAACCTTATTCACAAGCATCTCTTACTGGATGGTTCTGTATAATTTCCAAGGAAAAGTACAAAATAATTTTTTTTGATGCAGAATATTCAGCTCCCACTGCAGACAGTAGCAGTTGAAAGTACCCTAGCACCTTTCCAAACCCAGTCTAAAAGAGACAATAGATTTAAGGAAACCATTTTCTTTTTTTGCCTCTATGACACATATCACTACTTCTTTTTTATCCCTATGCCTTTATTAGTCTAGAGAAGTTACAAAACAGAACAGACTAAAGCTGAAAATTTATTGTATCTAAATACATAAATGTGAAATAGCAAAAAAAATGTTGATAAAATATTTAACTACATCTAAAACAACTATGCTGGAGTACTTTCAGTGTCTATATGCATACAGAAAAACTGAGGGCAAAGCTCTTCTGAATTTCTTTTTTGACAATACAGAGAAAGCAAGGTCATGACTCTCCTAGTTTCTTCTGGACAGAAAACACAGACCACCAGGAGAGAATGACAAAGAGAAAAACACAGATGCAAAAATAAAAAAGAATTTAAAATTTGGTTTGTATTTCAGATTATTTACTGGAGCAAGCATAATGGAAAAAAAAAATCCCACAAGAAGGTTAACCATCTTTTCCTCTAAAGACCATATTTATGGCCAAAGACACCACTAAATACAGCTATTGCCCTCTAAAGACAAGGGGTTTTCCATGTGTTAAACACAGGACAAACAAATCTAACCAAAATCCATATATAAGACAATGTATCTCCACTCAAGCAATAGGAAAGGCTCCAGCTCTGCTTGGTAACGCGAGGCAAGAGATTCTGACCTCACAAACATAAAAAGGGCAAAATGATGTACTAAGTTAGGAAATGGTTAACCAACAAATGGCTTAAAGTTTCAGGGCAATTTTAAACAGATAAATTATTTTTCAACTGCTGATACCAAATGCACTAAAAAAAGTTAGTAAAGTGCTCCTATTTAGGAATGATCAGTGTGACATCTCTTCAGTGTGCTTGGAGTGTTTCACTCTGCAGGCAGTGCCAGTGGAGAGCATTGGTACTTAACAGCAATGTTGCTGAACTCATCCTTACACTTCAGAGAGGACTGAAAGAAAAAGCAAAAGTATAGAAAAGGGAAGACAAACTGCTACATATGAGTGGAGAAGAGAATGGTACAAAACAAAGAAAAACCACAAAGTAAATGCAAGGTATTAGTAGATAAAAGAAAATAATCAGCCAGAGAGCTTATCAGAAAAAAATAACTTTAAGTATTTAGAGAGGGGAGGAGATCTGAGAGGGGAGTGTATCTTCACTTAGTGTATCACCAGCTTTGCATTGACCAGGAACTGCTGAAACAAGCACACTTCAAAACAATCCACTATTAAAAGAATAACAAAACTTGGAAGCTTTCAGTCAGTGTCACATACTTGCTTTGAGTATTTGTAAAGAAAACTACCAACTTGTTAATGTATAAATTAAAGACAATAAAGGAACTGTCTTAAGACAATAAAATATTCGGGTAAGTACATCCCACCTTTAAAAATTATTATGGGTCAAATAATACTGTTGTTCCCATTCACAAGACACACACATAGATCAGAAATAAAAAGGAATGGAATCATAAGAACAGCTGAAGTATATATTTAAATTAAATGCAAGGGGGAAAAAAAATCCCCTTCACAGTTATTCAGCTCAACTGGAATGCACTGTCACTTCAGAAATTAAAAAGTGACAATAACATGCAATAGAAAATAAATTTGCTGTGGGAAGAGATTAAAAGAACTATGAAGTAATCACCTGTGCCTACAAAGGGCATTCTGACAGAACTCTCTCTTAAAGACAGCTAACTGGAGGGTCGCCTATTAAAACCTCCCTGCCCTGCCTCTTGATAAAGAGCAGAGTGACAAAGAGCTAGACGCAGTAGCTGTGGCTCTGTGGCTGGCTGTGAATGACAATGGTGCTTATAGCAGGTGAGGTACTTTTGACAGCTCCCAACTCTACGGTCACGTGGCTGCCGACAGCTACAGCCGCTGTTCCACCACCTCTTCCTGCCTGCCTACAGCCAGAGCTACTCCCAGCACGAGATCCTCTGTTCTCAACCATGCTTCTAGTTCCCAACATTATTTTACACAAGATAAAACTCCACTACAATTTTTTTTCCTGATTATTAAAAGAAAACAGGATTTTAAAAGACTCACAGTATCTTGAGCTGAACCTCAAAAATTTAAACTCCATTGGACACGCAGCTCCGCCAGCCTGAGTAAAACATGTTCAACAGCTTGAAAAATTCTGCTTCAAAACGTTTTGTGACTCTTCATATCTCTATTTACGTCATGATGAAGTTCATAGACCGAGAAGGCCATCTTCCAGAAGACTGTATTTTAAAGTACTTAAAATACACCCAGGAAGAGGCATTTGGCCTCACTGAAATCAATGTCCCAGTGCTTGCAAAAAAACATCTCAGCATTTTAGCTCAAATTTTACTGTAGGACGTAGGGAGTATCTGAAGCCACTTTCATCACAGTAGATACAAAGCCACACACAGTGGAACCAGGATTTGACTGGAGGGTCCAGAGGCCAAATGAAATGCAAGTAAGTTGCTTTTAAATTTAAAAATCATACCAGAGACAAACTGAGAGTAAGATTTGTGTTGTACACATCATTATAGCTGAATGACTTCTCATTTTATCAGAAACAAACACAGAAATATAGATCTACAAAAGCAGAAAGTTTTGGGTTTAATTTGAGAAAATAGCACATGAACTGAAAATAACTAATTGCTGTTGTCAGCTAGCTAGAAGTCTATCACTCATGGGTTCCTTCCAAACAAGGAAAATTTAATTGTCACCCAGAGAGAAAAAGTCCACAAGAATATAGTATGCATTAGTTCTATCATTTCCTACTGACAGTCATCATTTTACATGATGGTCTGATCATGTTTCCACAACACAGATCTGAAATTCCAAGAGTATTTCAAGACTCAGACTTTGACTTTTCAATGTCCTGGACAAAACAGTTCTGATTCAGAAAGAGTTATAAGGATCTGTGCCATGTGCCTTCCATGACAAAGTTCTTGTGGAGCAAGGCAGTGCAATTCATCCCCACCTGTCCAAAATAAATGGTAAATTCATAGTTGTAATCTAGAAAGTGAACTAGAAATCTGGTACTGTAAATCCCTAGCATCATTTCATTTCCATTGTGACCTGGTGTAGGTTCAAATAAGATGTAATAAAACAGTGATCCTTCCTTCCTGAAATTATTAACAACTTTCCTCAACCAATCAGTAAGAGAGAAACAAAACTATTTTTTAAATCTGTTGCCTAAATCCTACAGACCACTATCACCACAAGCAATCCCAATCTGTGCAGATCTCTACACACACTGGCAATCTTACAGCCTACTGGTTGCAATTAATTTGTATCCCACGAGAAGTTACTTCATGTGTAGAATACAAACAGAGCAAACAAAGTGCTTCTGGGGCTCTCTGCACTTCAGCTGAGAACAGGGGGGAAAACATACAGGAACATAAGGCTTAATGTTATGCTATTAATTTAAGAAAGTATATTACCAACGACCAAAATAAAATATAAACAAACTTTGTAAATTGAAGATCTTTGATCATTAAAGATGTCCATATTAGAGGAAATAACACAGACCTTTGAAAATATAGATGGAGTAATCGCTATTTTTTCATTAGCAATTTTCCACATCTCCCACAAAAAAAAAAAAAAATCAAAAAACCAAACTCAATGAAGTTGGTTTCACTTTCATGACAGTACTAAAGCATCCGTACTACAAATTCTTGAAGATTTTTTAAAACTGCCTCATACTGTATTATAACTTAAAGCCACTCCATTTTAAACAATCTTAAGATTTGCAAAAGCATGGTTTAGCCATCTCAAGTGATACTGTAAATTTGACTTAATATTCTTTCAACTATATTTCCTGCTAAAGGCTTACAAGATGTCATTAATACATTTCACAGCCTCAATGAGCTACAGAGCCCCTTGCACCTCCCAGCAGAGGCAGGGGGACCCCTTAATGCTGATAAAATTGACAATGGCACACTAGGCCTGACTGTACCAAAACAAGCTGACGTGGTTAAACAGATTCTGCACTACGCCACCAAGAGTTCAGCTTCATGACAGGATCAGTGAAACCTGCCAGCTGCCACCAAGAGGCATGGTGACACTGCACCTGTAGAAATATGTTCTCTATATGGGAACCAACCACGCAGGTGAAGGACCATCTGTTTCAGTCCACTGCACAATTAGGTTGGGCTAGTTCAATGGGAACTGCACCCCAAACCAGGTCTTCAGACACACCTCTTTTTTCCTGCCTAACACACCAGAGATTCTTCAGCCACAGCCTTTTAGACAACAATTACTGTCCTGTACAAAAAGCCCATGAGTAATTCAAGATGTTCCTGCACTGATTTCCAGTAACAGTATTCATTTTTGGAGGTCACTTTAATTCACAAGTGGAAAATTACATTTTGTGATTTACAATTAAAATTAAATCCGAAAATCTCTTTTGAAGAGCCTCATAAAGCAGTAAACCACGTTTTAAAGTTGACAATAAGCAACTCCAAAAATTAAAAAAAAAATTATCACATTGTAAGTAAAACACATTATGTACTGCCTCAAACACATATACAACTAATGCAAATAGTTCAAATGAATCACTAGATTTTTGGAAGTAGATAAGGAGATAAAAGGCCAAACACTGATAGTACCACCTGTATTTTTACCCTTATGTGCAATGCAATCCGAAAATGTTATAATAATATTCTCAATGGATTGGTCACAGGGAAAGCCATTTTGAGAACATCATTTTTGCAATGCAGGACTTGAACAAAAATAAGTGATACTTAAAGACTTTTTTGGCAAAAGGTTTCACTGAAGTGCTTCTTTACAGCACCTTCAGACCATCATAACATACATGAACATAAAACACAAACATCATAACAACAAACCTGAAGCTCCCTGCTTTTCTAATTCAAAAATGTCACGGAAGTTAACAGAGAGAAAGCACACTAGGGTCAGTACTTTTCTAACTACCACAATGCCACACATCCTCAGTTAGACTTCTACCATAGGACTTACTGAAGGCAACCTCTCACGATGCCTAAGGAAACTCTACAGATGAGGTATCCACACATGACCCGTGACAACACAGCCACTGCTTGCCACTGAGGTTGTATGAGCAAAACCATACTTGAGTCAGTTTTGATAATAATTTGTGTTGGTGTGGTTGTATGCACATCATGAAGGCTCTGCTGGCATGTTTACCACTGACCAACTCCTCAAACTGGAGTCCCCGCTTGCATACTGGGAGGGTTTTGCTAATGTAGCTATACAAGTGCGACAACGTTTGCGAAACTTCCCCAAATTGGGTAGTTACTCTTTGCATGAAGCAGCCTGCACACAGATTCTACCAGTACTCACCACCCTGCGTTTACTCCCCCAAAGGAATCACAGCAGGAAGTACTAAGCATCCAGCTAACTAACAGAGCACTGCACAGGTACAGGGTTGGACCTACACACCGATTCTTCCTGAAATTATACACACATTTGGGAGGGCAAGGGGGTTCTCTTGCCAAAGAACAGTTTTTATTTTTTTCTTCCATGTACACAAAAAGCTGAAAGGGAACACTTTACAATTCAGCCTTCTGTAAAACTGAAGCCTGTAAGTATGAGAAACACGATCACAAGGAGCCTGTGATGCAAAATAATGAGATACATTATGTTTACACCAAAGTTCAGGGAAACTGTATTTTTAGAAGAAATGCTTAAATACATTGTTTCATTAGCACTGTACATAGTTTCTGAAAATAAGCAGCTATTTCAAGCACATTCTAAGATGCCCATAGAACCATGATGTCCAAAGCTGCAACCGATTTGCATGAGTGCAGCACAAGCACTTCAGGGTACCAGTGTAAAATCACGAAATCTATGTACCAGTCAGGATCAGTCTGATCATGAAGAACAGCCTCTACACTGGACAGAGTCAAGGTTAGGCAGCCTCCACTTCCTTTATCTTTTAATATTTCCCCTTGGAAATTCATACCTGTGTAACATCAATAAATGTGTCCCATATATTTAAAACAGATAGAATTCACCTGCATTTTCATTAAAAAAAATGCAGGTGTAACACATGCTCTAATTTACTTATAGATGTAAAAGACGACATGATGACAGCTGTCTACTTCTGCAAGAGGAACCATGCTCTGCAAGTAGCACGATCAGCAAGTCAGTGTCAAAAGTTGCAGAGCACTGGCAGGGCACAGTGAGGACCAGGGCATGCTCTGCCAATCCCTACGTCAGCAGGGGACTATGTATGGTATTTTTGACTCATGTAATGCCACTGTATATAGCCTAGTGAACCGAAATGTCTTAAGATAAACAGGAGATAATTCATATTAAAAGCTACAAAATTCACATAGTTCTGTTACACGTTCTTTTTAATTATGTAAGCCAATACACCAAAATGCGAACTTCACTGTGATTTTAATATCATAAATATTTTAAGCTCTTTTCCTAACTGTACTGCCAACCTTCAAAGTTTCAGACAACTGAGCTTACTTACAGAGCACAATAACTTATGTTTACCCCTACTAAGACTTTAAAATACTATTGAAAACACCGAATACCTTCCCAAACAATCATGACCAATGACAACATGGACATAAGTATTTTAACAGTGAATTAATCAGGCCAGCTCTAAAAAAACTTTTGTCCTTTCCCTTGTTCTTCGGTAGTTCTATGTCCTTCAGTGTCTGACTAAACACTTGACTACCCTGTCCAATCAGCACGATCTGAATAAACCATTTCGCTTCTTTTCTACCAGTGAATGCAAGGAGATTCGATAGTCTGGTAGAGCAGACAATTAACTGCTACTCACCCCGCACACAACACACTGAGTGGAAAGCTAAACCTGTGACCCGGCAGCTCTCACTCACGTGGATGAAGCCTCCCCCAGCAATTTGCATCGATCCCGAGTTGTGTAAGGCTGCTCCCTCCCACCGAGGGGGGCTCACGCAAGACTTTCCCTCTGGAGAGAAATTACAAGAGGTCTCCGAGTCCTTCCTTCCTTCCTTCCTTCCTTCGCCTAGACACGAGCACCTCGGGAGGTGCCACCAGCCACCACAAACCGGATCGCTTGCAGGGGTGACGAGCTGAGGACACATTTCCTCGCTTCCCACAATTCTTACTACACTGCAAGCATGGGAGGGGGTGTGTGGCCTGATTTAAA